TTTCATAAAACTAAAAGTAAAACCCCACTTTTTCTTCACAAATGACATGTACCTGTGTTAAATACTTCGTAATTATATATTGAAGAAGAGCAATCATGAAAATTAATATTTATAATTATCTATCAAACTCGTAAGCATGCAAAGATTTTTCTTACAAATCAATAATGAACAAAAACAAAACAATTATTTTCAACACCAACAGTTGCAGTTTTCTCTCTGTTGACATTAAAAAAAATACTTTTTAAGAACAAGTTGGATAAATTATTGAAAAATTTAACTGGACAAAAAAAAAATTGTCTATAAAAATTAAAAATTTCAGTCATAAAAATGAAAAAAAAATGTTGCTGAAATAATTTTATTTTTAAGAGTTCGTACAATAAAAACAAAATAAAAAAATGGTTAACCGTTCATATTTTTACATAAAAATTAAAATATAACATGCTGTCAAGATCCATTAAATCAAATGATTTGTAGAAAAATTCAGAATGCATGAGAATTTTTTTTTTATAGATCTGCATTTTCAATTCCTTGTTTTGTGAGTGTTAGTTACTGTTATCAATAACAATTCTGATAATGAATAAAAGTTCAAATGACTCATGAAGTTTTGTAGACAGACCTGCTCGTCAAGGTAATAAAAATCTATTGAATTCATTAAATATTACATTTATTAATTATTTTAAATGCGTTACATAAAAACCATTAATTAAATGTCATCTATTAAATTTTAAATCCTAGGATAAGATCTTTAGAAACTTACTCTTTTGTAAGAACTAAGTTCCACTTGAGTGTGTTGTATGTCCACATAGAGGATACATTGAAGAAGTATAATAATAATCATCTCTATTATTGTCAACTCAACATCTCACAATGGATATTTGATATGTAAACAGAGATGTAGATTTTAAGATAAAAAAAGACTTAAAGCACTAAACAGAAACTTGTCAATAGAGATAAAATTTTAATTTTATTTCATAAAACAAAGATTTTAATAAATTTATTAAAATCTCCCTTTTCATAATCCTGGATGAATTTTTGACTAATAATGTCATCAACTCAGTATCATAAGTCAAAGTGACATGTAATTAATTTGACATAGAACTAAAAAAGTTCTAATATAAATTTCTGGTAGTAAAGAATGAAATTTAGTTTCTACATTTCTCATATCTTTACAATCCAAATTTTACATTCTGAAGTAATTCAGTGTCAGATGAAATTAAAACAAAATAAAAAAAGAAACATTAACGGTTAGTATTTTCCGAAGATCCCTGTGGGCACTTAATTGATTTTATTTCTGATCTTTTAAAATAATAGACTTGGACAAATACAAGTGCTTAAAAAGTTTCTTTAAATGATGACAAGCATAGAATGGTTGTAAATGTGTGTAGATTTCAAATTTCAAACCTTCAAATTTTATGTAAAATCTCATATTAATGAATTTTTAGTCTCAATGATGATATTTGTAAATATTTTTTCTACCAGTCCATGTTACAGACTCATCCACTCTCTACCATATCAGCTTCTCCCCAGAATTAAGCGTATAAAAATGAAATGCTAATAACGAACCTCTGTCGTTGTTAGTCTTTTATGACGTTTTGTCACTTTTGAATATGTTTTTATTTAATTTTCATAATTCTACGCATTTCTTGTTTCTTTTAAAACAGTAAAATATTTCTAAAAAGAGAAAGTTAAATAAATTGAACGGATGTCAATGAAAAAGGAATGAGCAGACACTTAAAATTTGACATAACTTGCTACAAAAATGAAAGTATTGTTTTTTTTTTTTTTAATTTTGATCGGAAATAGTTTCCAAACGTGATGGCTTTGGAATGCAACAATTTGAGAACTTATTGACCTACACAAAAACTAATGGGACAAAAAACCGAAAGTTATTTAAACAAAATAAAAATGTAGACCCTAAAAGGCCCTGTCGGTGTATAGCAAAATTCTTAAAGAAAACTAATGTTTGATTATTTCTTAAAAAAAGAAAAAAAAAAAAGAAAAAAAAAACAGATAAAAAAATCGCCCCAGTACAGTTTGAAATGATAGCGCTTTATGAAATTATTATTAAGGTCAGGAATGATAGTTATTAGCTCGCACAATGCAACCATTAAACATTAACAATAACATTATTAAATTCTAAAAAGCAAAGTATGCGTAAAAACTAAAAATATATTTTTAAATTTAGTAAAGGGAACGTTATTTAATACAATTACTACTGAAGGTAACTTTGCGCAAATTAAACTTGCAGCGTGTTTTCTTTTCTCCAGGACCATTGCATTAAGTAATAAAAAACTAAAAAAGCATCCACTGCAGTTTTGCCACTTCGCTGCTATTTGCTTTATTGCTGCTAGATAAGCGTGCCCAACACACGAACACAATCAACAGATAGAGAAACGGGAATTACTGAACCATGTTCAAAATGTGGACCATTAGAAAACATTCGAACCAATACCCATATAGCGCCTAGCGAGACATTGAAAAATCTTTACTTTATTTAACTGAAACAACTTCATATCGCTTCTTAATAAACTAATCAATTAGAAAGAATTAAAAAAATGAAAGAAAAAAACTTGGCGCTGTATGCCACAATTCGAAGTAACACTTGTAATGATTTCACTCGAACTCTACAAATGAGTAATTAATTCTCAAAAAGTTCACTGGAAAATGAACTTGATTCTAAGCTGAAGCATAGAACTGAGTAATAAATAACAAACATTCTGTCGAATGTCCATTATTTAATCGTTCACATCCACATTAAAGGATAAACTGAAAATATTAGGCTTTTTAAATTTAAAATATTTTTCTGTAAAAAAAAAAAAGAAAATCAATCACAGAATTAATTGGCATTGATAATGTCATAAATTATTTGCTGTCGACATAATAACAAACATTGTGCAATTAATAAGGAAAGGAACAATTTCAAAACGACTTTCAACACATACAGTAATGTACTGAAAAGTGAAAATTAATTAAGTAAAGTTACAGAAAACGTGCAGCATTTACTTAAGTTAAAAAATGTTGTAACTTTTCTGCCCAACTTCGTTTTCTATGTCATCTTTTTTTTTTAGCATGATACTGTATAAATTTAGAATTTAGATTAATTAATTCGAATTTTTTAAAGTCAGCTATTTTTAAATGAACTGGTTTAGATATATTCCTAAAAGAAAATTCATAAATTTTATTTTTATGTTATTAATAAAATGGATACAATAAAATAAATAAAAAAGGGTTTGTTCTGTTAAAGTTTTTTTTTTCACGATTGTAAGAATTTCTAGAAGTGAATGCAAAATAAATACTAGAAAACAGTTGCTGATATTGTCAATATTTTTGAAAATGTTAAAGTTTTCTCCAGAAAGTGAAATTATTTTTTGTCAATTTTGCTTTTTTGTTAAAAAAAAAACTTTTGCGCATTGTGCTTTCCTTTCCGCAAGTAAATACTCGGATAAAGAAAGAGTCACAATTAAGTAGAAAATATTAAGAAATACTTTGATAAAAAAAAATTAAAATAAATCAATATGAAGATGTCAATTGTTTAACTTAACTTATCGACAACGAAAAAAGTTAACCAATTTTTAAAAAGACTCATTTGCTTTAATAAGCAAATTATAAAATGATTATTTCTTCGATAAAAAATATAGAAGTAAAATCAGCGTTTTTCTCTTTTACTTTTCTTTACACATTTTTTTAAAAGTGATTTCCTACTTTTTAATTTATTATTTTTCTTAGCCGAAGAAACGTGCGTAATATTCAGCAACCAAAATGACATCCATCCATGTCATATCGACGTGAACAAAAGCAATCTTTAATAAACGCGTTCGTTTATTTTCGCTTTTGGGAGGAAAACATTTTTACACAGACTAAGTCGTCATACTCACTGAATTTGAAAACTAAATCCACAGTCAGTGAGTTTGTTTTGCTTTCTTTCGACCAAGTAACCTACATTTTTGTTGGTTTGTTAGTCACTGATGTGTAGCTTCAACATTTTCCTTTTCAAAACAATGGTTGGTTACTTTAAGTGTATACCCATGGTTAATTTATTTTATTTTTTATTTAACTTATTCTTTTAGTTTTCAAAGAATTAAACTTAGCATCAACTAAAGACTGCATTGCAGTCATTGTATTTTCTTTCTCACGCAAAAATAGTCGAAGCCCCTTTTTTTTAAGTCTTCATCAGCACCAATCTTTGGTAAAAACTGAAATATCTCTCAGAGAAAAAAATAACCGATTTCATCAGTGTTTCTGTTTTTAGTGTTTTTAGGCTTCTTTTAAAGTGACGAGTGATAGTTTTTTAATGTAAGAATAAATAACAAATACTACTTAAATGAAATGTACTTTTTTAAAGACTGCGAATGATTGCAATCAAAGTACCGTGTTTTAGTTACTGTTAATAAAAACAACAACAAAACTAAAAAATGTGTGAAGCTGAAATAGCGGCTCATAAATAATATTGTGTCACAACAAATTTTATTTTATATTCAGTTCTGTAAAATTAAAAACAACGAAAAGAAAAACATTTTTACATCCCATGTTGTTACGGGGGACACATACAAACTAAAAAGGAATTTCCAACTATTAAACACCCGGCCTCAACACACACAAAAAATAAAAAAAAATATATAAAAAAAAAATAAATGGAAGGAAAATTAACCCAACACATACAATAAGAAAATATTGGCAAATAAATGAATAGCAACAATAACAGGATCGTCTATATTACACAGACACACACACACACACACACACACACACATAATTAATGGGGATTTTAAAGTAAAAAAAAAACGCATATTGGTAACGATGGCAAATTTGTATGGTAGAAACATCTGATTTTTTATTTTTTTTATGAATTTACAAAAAATCGTACATAAAATAAAAAAATGATTCGAGGAATTACCATTAAGTTTTAAAAAAAGCGAAAGGAGGAAAACTAAAACACGAGACAAGTTGAGAAGAACTTATGAAAATGATAGCGTTTTTAAAACAGGTAAAAGAAAACTTACCTTGCGGGGAAAGAAAACTCGATTTTGTAATCAAGTTTGTCGTCATAATTGTTGCAGTCGTTGTTCCTGACATTAAGTAGGCACCTGCTAACAATACCCGGCTGTCTACTAAATTTTGGCTTAGACGCCAACATGCTATCGCACTGCTCGACACCAATGCAAGTTTCAGAGTCCTTTCTGTGTTTTTAGGGAGGAAACAACACGAAATGGTTTGTAGAGTTACATTCGAATGTTGCGCAAACCTCGCTAATGCCGAAACTAAACCACACCCCCGCCAAGCCATCCTGCTTACGAGTAACGCTTCTGATAAACAACAACAATCCTTTTCTGGCCTCTCGCTTTTAAAGCGAGGGCCATTTAAGATGAGTTGCCGGCTTTTGCTGACACTTCCGGCACAGTGCGCGGACGGGATGACTGCCTCTGATATAGCATCTCAGCTGCTGTCGGTAATGGCAACCCACCCTTATGCGTTTTTTTGTAATATCACATAATAATAATGTACATTGTATATGTAACACACGTATTGCTAATTCCTTTTAATTACAAGTTTAAACTTGTTACTAATTAAAGTAATTAGTAATAAAACTAAAACTCATCATTATGTTCCAATGTTATTTTCGATTAATAAGAAAAAAAATAGAAATCTCATTATTATTGTAGGTAGCGCGTACGATCGTTATTTTTTTCTTTCTGCAATATTGTATACTAAATGAAATAGTGAACTATACAATACATATGAAAATGAACACAAAGGAAGTTTTTTTTTATTTCACTTAAAGCAAAAACTTTTCTTTTCCCAATTTAGATGCAGGTGATTTTTACTTCATAATTATTGGCTTTTGTGAATATTTACTTTCATAGTTTACAATTCACGAGAATAAAGCTCATTTTTGTATTTAAAAAGTTTCACTTGACATTAAGGTTGAAGTTTTGAAAATAGCATCCTCTCTCCCCGGATTCAAAAATAAGTTTCTTAGTTTTATGAAGGAACTCTGGAATCAGAAGCACATCCGGCATGTTCTTTAGCGCACATATCTTTTTTGTATTATTAATGATTCAAGAAAACAACGAAACTCCAAATGTGAATCAACAAGTATATATTGAAATAACATACAAGAACAAAATATACAATAAATTTGTATTCAATGTATAGATTAAGGGAAAGAAGTTGTTCCCCTTTAATTGTATTTTGATTTGAATTGATTGTTCGAAAAAGTTTCTTTTAGAGAAAAATGTTCAGGAATCAATATTAGAACAAGTCTGTTTGTTAGAATAGATAACACAAGAATACAATTGATTAGAAATGTGTTGTGTTATAGAATGAGAAATCAACAGAGTCCTGGTTGATTGAACTTGGCTAAGTCACAGAGAGATATGTATATTTATATTACAAAATTCTGTGTCTGCGTTTGAAATGTTCTGATTAAAGATCATAGGTTTGTTTTGACAGGCGAAATTTAATGGACTCTACTGATGACTTGTGAAAAAGTCGCCTCTTTTAATGAAAAAGAATTGGCTCCCAGCAAAAAAAAAAAAAAAAGCGTGGAAAAAGTTAATTTTGCACTAAAATATGTGATTGGTTAAAAATTAACCAATCGCTAAATTTGTACTAACAAAACTGGCAAGCAAGTTCAAAACCAAAAATTCAAAGGAATGACTGCGATGGCTAAATTGTCCTATATAGAAAGGTAGTATTGATTTATTAGCCAATCGCAGACAAATAAAATGTGGGCGTGGAAAACAAGCAGCAATCATTAAACAATGTTTTGACAAACTAATGCCTTTGATAGATGGTTAATGCTCAGTCCACAAAATCATGTCTACTAAAAACTCTAAACTCAAATCATTTTGTGCTGTCATCAAAGTTAATGAATATGATATCAGACCTGATAAAAATTTAATCTTCATTTTCGAATACGTTCCTGGTCCAATGCACAACTGTGAAGAGATAGACAAACTGAGTTTTAAACATTCAAATCATTCACATGGAACATGTTAATGGTTTTTCTCTTCCTATTTTTCCTCCATAGGCCAGCCAGCTTTTGGTGCCTGAACTGAAAGACAAAGACATAGGTATGTTTAGTTTGAAATTGTGTTAGTTAAAAAAAAATTAATGTTGTTGTCCCAAGTTAATTAAATAGGACTCTGAATAAATCTTTTGCACAACAGGAACTATGATCTGTTTTTGGAAAGCAAGAAAAGTTATGGCAGTTAATGAATCCATCGTCAAGTATATGAATTTGGTTTAAATACTGGAGTGAATGGGACAGGACGAATTTATAAAAGGAAACCAATCACAGAATATGTTTCGCTTATGAAGCTTTAATTAATTAAAAAATTTCCACAAAACCAAACATTAAGGAAGAATAAACTGAATCTTATAAAATAGCCTCGTCAGATCTAGACTCTACGACTATTGGGGGGAAAAAAACATTCTGCAACAGGGATATCTTCGTATTAATTTTATAAAAAACAAAATGGAAATAAAACTTAAAATCATGTTCAATTTTTAAAGTTAAAATACATATATTTTTATTTATTTGAAAGTACTTTCAAAGTGTATTTTAGTTATACTTGTTTTAGATTGCATCCCAGGAAGAAAAAACTGTCTTATGACGAAACAACCGATTCCATGAATTTTTCTCGGACCTTTATTTGAGAAAAGATTGAGTTCGGCGATTACACTGTTGCTAAGGTGTTTTTCAGGCAGGAAATTTTTCAAGTTGCATTATCGCCCTTTGTTTATTATTTATTTTTTATTTATTCATTTTTAATAAAAAATGTTAAAACTCATGTTTTATTTTATTTTTATTTTATTTTTTTTTTTTACTATGGTGTTTTATTTATATAATATAAACACAAGAAATATGTTTAGAAGTGCTGTAATTTAAGCAAATATAAGAAAACAACATAAAAATGATCAAACGAATGAATTTTTTGATCCTTGAAAATTTTTCTATACTATGGTTGTTACAGATATTTTACAGAATCACAACAAGAGAAATTACCTTAAAAAAAATACATCATTTGAATGAAGATTCACTTGTAGCAAAAACTCAAATAGATTTTACATGTAACTATTTTAATCTTTAAAAATCTCCATGTGACTTTTTAAATTGCTTTCTTTCATTAAACCAGATATAAGAACAGGAGAAATTTATAAATCTGAAAAAAAACTGTTTTAAAACTTGATTTTGATTTTAATTTCAAAATACGGTGTGTCAAAATATGTCATTCATGGTTTTCATTCTTTTTAGTGCGTATAAAGGGTAAATTTCACCATAAAGCATCATCATTTCAGAGTGAGTTTATTCCTCATTGGGTGTCTACACTATGGCCTTTGGGATCGCCAGGTAATGTTAATATTAATGAATAAGATGAAACTTGAATATTTATATTTAAGATTATATTTTAAAAAACTTATCAGTTACTATCAAACAGTGTTTGGATAAACACACATTACTCCAGTCCAAAATGTGGATCTTTCATTTTTGTTTGCAATGTCTGAAACTGCCCAATCCTATTGAAACAGTTATTTAATATTTAAAGAATTATGCTTGTCATTCCCAACTTACAAAACAAGATTACAAGGAACATGCTGCTGCAAGTTTTATTTCAATATCACTACAAAGGTGAAGACATTTTATTGTTTTTCATGTGACACACATTTTCAAGAAAAATAAGGTAGATACCGGCCGATGTCCGCTTAGATATATGCTTCTAACTTTTAAATTCAACATAGAATTAAATACGGTTTCAATGTTGTACGTGTTTATAATAATTAGACAACAAAACAAATTCAAGTTTGAGATTTTCTAGTTATTTTTGTCTGTTTTTAGGAAAATGTTGAAAAGTTTAAACGAAGGTTTAAGGATTTAAAAAAAAAACGTGATATTATAGACGTTTCCCATTTGTTAATTTTATCAAACACAGATTCCGATTTACATTTATTTTTAACTCACACATTATATCTTGATCTTATATATAATGTGTTTATTTACAATTATTGCAACATCATTACAATTGATTTTGAATATTTAATTGTAAAAATGTTGAATTAATGACCAAATGGTAAACTATTTTTTTCTATGAATAAAAAGACCTTAATCTGCAGAAAGAAAATGAAGCATAATTTACAATCAGATGATAACCTTCCAAAACAACCAGGAAAAATATTTGTTTTGTGGAAATAGAATTCCCAATAATCCAGTTTTAAAGAAAAAAAACACTTAAAGGTTCATGAAGACGAAGTTTGTTTTGAATGCATTCCAATAAATCCTGTAAAGAGGAGATATGTATACTATATCACATGTTGATTCATGTTATGCATATATTATATATGTTATATATATATATATATATATATATATATATATATATAGAAAACGAGTTAAAAATTAAAGAGAAATGTAAAGGAGGTAATTTAGTGTTTGCCATGAAGACATTATTTACATAAATTTGATTATAGCCTTTATTCGTTTTGGGACCATTCAAATTTTTTTTGTTTAAAATACAGATAACTTTTCAATTTCAAAGTAAAACATCCCCAAATATGACCCTTTGAAGGTTTAGAACTCAGAATCAATTCTCCTATTTATTATGCAAAAATTGTTTAGAATCCAGTCTGTAAATTTACCCATACCCAAAGGGATATTCAATTAAATTTTTGCTTCAAGGGTGTGTTTGATTAATGAATTAATGGAATACTGGAATTCGAACAGCAAAATCTTGAGAATATTTTTCCGATTTTCAATCCAAGCCAATCCATTAGTGAATAGATACTACTTTAAAAATGTTATCTTGATATCTGGAAATTTGTTTATGATATTGTTATGAGTAATCACTAACGCCACTATATTTTGTTCGGATTTTTCTATTATTTTTAAAACCTTCAAAATGAGACTATGTTTGGACTTTTACAAGAGATATCATTAATGTTCTAATCAACATTTTATCTTAACCTTGAGGAAAGCAACTCATTTGATAAAATTTGAATTGTGATTTTAGCTTAACGCAATTTTTCTTTTATAAATTTGTTATCATATTCCAACTCTTTTTTGAAAACATAAACCT